CTCTCTCTCTCTCTCTCTCTCTCTCTCTCTCTCTCTCTCTCTCTCTCAGTGTGTGTATATATAATCAATTTACAAGCATGTGTCTATGTGTATATACAGATTTAAAATATAAACTGGTTAATGAAAATTTGGCTAAAATGTATATTTTAGTTCGTAAAAATGTAGAATCATTTGTATATGTACTCCAGGTTTTGAGTTGTCCTGAATATGCTCTAATTTGTCACTTGACTTGCAAGACCACATTTGGAATCATAGATTTAGAGCTCAGAGATCATTTGGTCCAACCTCCTAATTTTACAGATGAGGAAACTAAGGTTTAAATTAGTGAAGTGGCTTGTCCAAAAGTCACAGGGGTAGGGAGTAGAGATGATCCTTTCATTATGAACTAGGAGGTAACTCACCTTCCATTAAGACTTATGGAATACAAATATTCTTTTGGTTATTATTTTCTTTTCATAATCCTAAATCCAAAAAAGCTTTTGTTATCTGGTATTTTACCAGCCACTTGTAGGAGCTGGTATTTCTAATTCTCCCAGTGCAAGATTTCAATCTAGTACTGGGTACTTAGACCATTAAAATTCAACATCAGTATCAATACACTTTGAAAGAGATATAATAATTCACGAATATTAAGGATGTCTGACCTTAAACAGAATAAATTTGTAGGAAAAAACTTTCATAAATTTCATACAAGTAGACAGTAGCGAATTTTAGAAATACATGAGACATGACAGGAATTTCAGAAGTAAAGTTTGATTAGGAGTCATGAATCTTAACCTTTTAGAGATGAAAGGGAACTGAGAAATCCAACCCCTGGTTTTACAGATTGAAAATCTCAGTTCCACAAAAGCACCAAGTAACATAGCTTAAACCTGGGTCTCCCCAGCTTTCAGTCCTGTACTTTCCCTATTATAGCATGGAACTCTTGACTTAAGGGGCAGTTCTAAAAAAGAGGGGAGGAGCCAAAAACTTGAGGACTCATAGTATGGGTAACTAAAGTTTTTGAACCTATGGTTCACCCATAGGTTGAGAAAAAACTGCCATTTTCAGGTTTGAATAGTTGTGTTTGTTGACTTCTGAGTTACGCTTTTTTTGTTTCTTAGAAATTCAGCATTGACTCACCACAAATCTTCAGTCTAATAACCAGACTTATCAATAGTAAAGTCAATACACTGAAGGAGACCATGTAATGATACAAACTAATGGTTGTTTCTGTTGATTTCAAAAGTAATCAGATTAAACCTATAGAATAAAATAAATCTTTCCCCAAAATTTCACAAGCAGAAAACAGATAAAGTTGGCAAGAAATAAATTATTTAAAAAAAAATAGTCTGAAGTTTAATTTAGAAATTTATGGGGCAAATGCATTTAAGTTTCAGATAGCCAGCTTTTACCATAGATCTTTGGACTTAAATAATTCCAGATTTTCCACTTTGGAGTGTAGGGTTTACTGGGGTTCAAGTAGTTTTGAAGATGAAGCTTAAATAAGGTGTGACTTTACTAGTTAGAAGAATCATGAATATAGAGACGAAGATAGATATTCAAACTGGGCATTTGTAACACTGTTGCTAGTATAATGAACCTAGAGACTGAATCATATTTAAACTCCACTATAGGTAACAAGCTAACAGCATTTAGAAGTTCTCGGGGGATGAAAGGTAAATAGATTAAAATTTCTAATATTTGTTCATTTGCTTTCCTCCCATTGACTTCTCTCTGTTATCCGTACTTGGTTCTGTCCTTGCTTTTTACATCGTATGGTCCCCACCTCAGGGTAGGCTCTGATCTCCTGTACTACTGCCCCTAGCTATTTGCATTTCCAGCACTTCTGCTTTAAGCCTGATTGTACAAGTAACTACTATCCTATTATCCCTGGTGAACTATGATGTGGTATATTTAGTCCATTGATCGTTACAACTGTTTAGCTAGAACTGGGGGCTAAGTACTCCTTCATTCAACCTATGCAAGATAACAAAAGCTTTTCACTATAATTACTAAAAATAAAGTGTACTTTTCTTAGGTTCTTGGTATAGTAGTAAAAACTGCTTATAAACTTTTGTTTCCTTTTGGAGATTAGAAAAAGTAAAACAGTATTCTCAATGTGTTTGGATTAATAATTTTGTTAAATTTGCTGGAGAATAAAAGAGTTCTGGTTTAAAAACAAGATAAAAGAATATGCTATTAGAAGTTTAATTAGCTGCTTTGTTGCTATGATTCCTTTAATTGTGTAACTCTGGGATGTAAGTAAAATTTTGTTATGTGTACAAGGACTTTGAATGTATATTAATTCCTTTGTTGAATAGGCATTTTGCTACATCAAATATTACTCAAAAAAAGCAGGTAATAGGACTTGTATTTGAAAATCTTTTCAACACAGGCTTTTGGTCCTAACAATGTATAGTTTGTTATGAATTTTATATCCTACATATGATTCAAATGTAATATAAAATGTAAATTAAAATTACAATATAAAATGTAAATTTAAGACTTTGGGACATAGGCTCCTATGTGATTTTGTGGATTTCATTTCAGAATTTCAAAGTACATATGTTAATCTGGTAATTCATTTGAAGCAACATATTAAAAGAAAAAAAATTGGAAGCTAATGTCAGTAGGAATGGGAGAAACAGTTTAAAGTAGAATAACATTTTTTCATTTTTGTTTCCCTCCAGCATTTTCCTGGAAATACTGAGAATACTCATACTGATTGGTCAGATCCTCGTTTCTCTGGTTACTGTTTTTCTTATATGTCTTGTTATAAAGACTTATCTTATAGGCCCATATTATCGAAAACTGCATGTGGAGAGCAAAGGAAATAAAGAAATCCTTGTTTTAGGAATATCAGCCTTCATCTTTCTAATGTTAACGGTAATTTTCACATGATAAAATATTTTTCATGTATTTGAGATTTATATTCTGCTTAAAGAAAAATGCTACATTATAGTTAGTTATTGAAGGATCTTAAGCACTTTTATAACTCTTAAGTATTACTATCTTGGTCCAGATTTACTCCATTCCCTGAGGAAGGATAGCTTCTTGAAAGTTTTAAAAAAAAATTAGTGGTGGGTCGGGCATATATAATGAAAAATAATATTTCAATCAGGGTTTCTACAAAACAGATTTTAGACATAGGTTGGGAGTAGTATGTTCTATATTTGGACCAGTGTGATTATTGTTATTGAATTATTTATATTAAATTACTTCTTGAATAAAGATTATTTGTAGTATCCATTGTTGATCTGTAGAGTAAAATAACTTAGTTGACAGACCTCTAAAAATCCTGTGATTTTACTTTTAAATGCTTTACTAAAACTTTGTTTTTTAAACTAACATTTTAAAAGCTCTTCTGAGAAATTAGAATCATATTAGCTCCAATTTTAAATTTGTCCTTTCTTCATCTTAACTTTCAGAAAGTTTCACATTTGAAATAAAAGTCCAGTAGTGCAAAAGCAGTTTTATAGTGCCAACTTTTGGATAAAGTACAGTCATGTGAGGGCAAGTTTAAATTTTTAAAAGTAATAAATATGCAATTTCTCCAGGCAATAAAAAGTTCTTTTTATGTTAATACAGAATCACAGTGGCATTTTTATTGGGATAAGAGAGCAGTGTAATAAAGGAAGTGTACTCTATGAAATTCCGCTTCAGACAGCTCCTTTCTAACAAAAAAATTTCCAGCTACTGGACTGATCATATAGTTAATGGAATTGAACCTTACATAACCTTTAATATAAAAACAATGAATAACCAGAAATGTAGAGCTCATTGTTAAAACACTAGATATTCAGAGATAAATGGCGTTTTTAATGTTTTGTTAAAGGACGTAGATTTTATGAAATTTTAAAGATATAATTATCGTGAAGGAAAAAGAAAGCAGTTTAATTTTTTTTCTTATCTTTGACAAGGTGACCTAATTTAGCAGTTTCCTTATTATTAAAAAAAAGAGAGAGGCCAAATTAATGAGTAATTAAAAACAAAATTTCATATCATCACATAAATCAGTATAATTTTGTACTAAAAGGTAGAAGTATAGTTCACTGTTAAATTGCTAAAAGTAGATTCCTTCAACTTTCTTATTAAGATCCTTTTTGATAAGCTCAGTAATCAGCTTTATTAAATGATTTTTTTAAAAAGAGAAGAAAAAGCCTCACTTCTTTTGTTTAAAAAAAAAGTATTTCTGTACAAATTATTTGGGCTTCTGTGAATATTTTGTAAATGTGTTAAACAAGTTTTCACTTCACTCTTCAAAAGAAGCTCACAACAACTGTCTTAGACTTTGTATAAATGATAACATTTAAAGATATAACTTTTGTAATCACTACAATTTTTTGAATCTATTCTTAAACTATCTAATTGGAAAATGTAAACATCTGAAAATAGAAAAACATATCCTTTTAAAGAAAATTCTATATGCTTATATTTTTAATAGGCTTTATTTTAAATGCACTGAAATCTGCAAATCATAGCCTCAGTTTTGTTAAAGACTGGGGCAGCTGGGTGGCACAGTGGATAGAGCACCAGGCCTGGAGTCAAGAGGACCTAAGTTCAAATCTGACCTCAGACATTTACTAGCTGTGTGACCCTGGGCAAGTCACCTTATCCTGTTTGCCTCAGTTTCCTCATCTGTAAAATGAACTGGAAAAGGAAATGGGAAACCACTCCAGTATCTTTGCCAAGTTGGACATGACTGAACAACAAGAAGTTAAAAACTAATAGGAAATTCTAGTCTTGGAATGTTCTTACTGTAGTCTCTGAATTAGGAGACAATAGTTCTTTGAATAGAATTGTATAATATAGTTTAGATGGGAATAAATCAGTGAAGATCTTATATACTTTAACTCTTCAGGGAATTTATGCACTCATATTTTTTGCCTGTGGTTTTGCCTTCTCTCAAATGGAGGTGATTCTACATCTTTTCTACTTTTTATATGAATTCAAATGATCATCTTCAACTCATCACCCAAAATTTTAACCTACTACCTCCAGATTTAATGAGTGGAAACATTACAGTCATTTGTGTATGTGAAAAAAGCACTAATGTTAAGGAATTAAAACATCAACAGCAAAATAGGTAGTATATCATCAATTCAATAAATATCAAATGCCTAACCTGTCTACTGTGTGTAGAACCTTGAAGAGATTACAGTCTAATTAAGTAAATAAGACATGCACAAGGACACAAGACTACATATATCAGGTGTCACTATGTGTATAGCATGGGCAAAAAATACAATGGAAAGTGGAGATTAGCGTGAACCAAAGTAATTGAGAAATACTTTATTAAAAGGTAGAGCCTTGAGGAATGGACAGCATTTTGATAGTCAAGAATAGAAAAAAAAAAAGTCATTAACAGTGTGCTGGAGCCACTTCATACTAGTTTGTGAAAGCCAGTTGTTAAATTTTCACTGTGACCATTTACATCTCAGAAATTGGCAAATGCTACAAATCAGGACTTGATTCATTGCTTTGTTGATTGGCAAGGGTGGGGAACCTGTGGCCTCAAGGCCATATATGGCCCTCTAGATCCTCGAGAGTGGCCCTTTGACCTCATCCAAAATTTACAGAACAAATCCCTTTTAATAAAAGGATTTTTATCCTTTGGTGTCCCTCGTAGACCTAGGAAATTCTGGAGAAAATATTAATAATACAGATTGAACTTAGAAATATGTACAAGTTTTTTTCCCCTCCCCCTCAGAGAGCTGGTTGTTAAACATTTATCAGCATGGTCCTGGTGCTATAGTAGGGGCAAAAGGGGACAAGGGAATGAGCAAATTTGTGATGGCAAGAGAAAATGTGCCACGTGTGTGGAACAGTTATAAGACCAGCTTGATTGTAGTGGACGAGACCTGTTGGGAAGTAGTGGGAAGTAAAGTTATATAGGTAAGATGGAGCTCTGATTGCCAGGATGCAGAATTAAGATTTGATCCAAAAAGCATTGGGGGTCCATTTGGGGGGGGATATTAATCTGGTAGTAATTGTGGAATATAAAGTACAGTCAGAGATCAATTAATAGGGTATAACAATGATCAAGGTTTGAGGTAACAAGGACTAGAATGGCAGCAATGTGATTGAAGTGAAAGGAAGAGACTAGACAGAAAGAATAGACAGGGTATAGTAACTGGCTGAATATAGGGGAGAGAAGAGTTAAAAAGGAGTTAGGTTAAGATGTTAGAAGAATGATTCCATTGATAGAAATAAGGAAAATCAGTTTCATAGGGAAATGATGAGAGTATTGAATTTTGTCTGGTTTTGTTGTAAGGTTCCAAGGAAATAATGGGATAATAATGACCAACGTTTATATAGTTATAGTACTTTAATGTTTGCAAAGTTGTGATATTGTATCTGATTCATAACAATATTAGTCATCAATTACTTTTGACTTTTTAAAACGAAATCTTATTTTGGGGGGGGCAATTGGGGTTAAGTGACTTGCCCAGGGTCACACAGCTAGTAAGTGTCAAGTGTTTGGTCTGAGATCGGATTTGAACTCAGGTCCTCCTGACTTCAGGGCCGGTGCTCTATCCACTGTGCCACCTAGCTGCTCCTTAAAACGAAATCTTATTGAAAGTGTCACTATTGACCCTGTAGATAATGATTTTTTTAATAATTCACAGCATTAGACAATAAAAGAATATTTTGCTAATATGTATATTTCCTTTGCTTTTATTAATTCTCACAGTCATCTTATTTTTTTTAAACTGTTAATACCAAAAATAACTTTTAATAGTAACTTTAAAGGTTTCCAAAGTATTTTCTATATTTCATCCTCACAACAACCCTGTGTAATAGGGGCTTAGAGGTATTATCATCCTTATTCTATAGAAACTGAAGACTGGATAGACTGACTTGTCTACAGTCATATTGTTAATACGCACAGTGCCTGGCACATAGGAAATGCTTAATAAATGATTCTTGACTTGACTTGTAAATATCAGGTAGGATTTATACCGAAGTTTCTTGATTCTAAGTCCAGAAATCTTTCCAGAGGACTATTTTGTCTGTTCTGGTACTTTAAACGTTTCTGACTCTGTCTTGCGCTAATTTTTGTTTATATTCTTCAGAAGACTTCTTAAATTAGCTATCACTTTTATTCAAATCAGTCATTCAACTAGCATTTATTAAGAACCTACTCTCTGGCACACACCTTATGTACTAAGTACTGGGGATACAGGGAGAGGCAGACCCAGTTTTCCAGGAGCTCACAGACCAATGGGGCAGCCAAATGCAAAAAACTACATATGTATTAGATAGATACAGAATAAATGGGACATAAGCAACAGAGGAAAGCTGTTAGTATTAAGGGGGACCATGAAAGGTTTCTTGGAGAGAGTGGGACTTTAGCTGAGACTTAAAGGAAGCAGGGAGGCCAGGAGGTGGCAGTGAGGAGGCAGAGAACTCTAGGTATGGATGAGGGCTAGAGAAAAGGCACAGAATCAGGAGATGAAATGTCTTGTTTGGAGGAATGGAATGGAGGCTGGGGTCGCTGGATTTCAGAGGATTTGGAGGGGAGTAAGGTCTAAGAAAACTGGAGGGTTTTATAAATCATAGAATCTTCTGTTTTATCCTGAAGGCAATAGGGAAGCACTGGAGTTAATTGAATGGATGAAGTTGGGAGCAAAGAAGGACAGTTATATATGACTTGGTCACTGCTGTCCTTGAGGAAGGTCAATTTGACAGTTGAGTGGAGGATGGATTGAAGTAGGGAGATATTTAAAGCAGGGAAACCAACCAAAACATTGTGGCTGTAGTCTAGGCATGAGTTGATGTGGGCCTGTACAAGGGTGGTAGCCGTGATGGAGGAGAGAAGGGGATATGTATGAGAAATGTAAAATATTTGACAGCTGATTGGATATAGAAAATGAGAGTGAGGAGTTAAGGATGACACCTAGGTTGTGAGCCTCAGTGACTGGGAGGATTGTGGTACCCTCCAACAGTAATAGAGAAGTTAAGAAGAGGGGAGGGCATGGAAACAAAGGTAATGAATCTAACTTTGGATATGTGGAGCTGAAGATGTCTATGAGACATCCATTTAGAGATGTCCTGGTATTAGGCTGTTCAAAATGCAAAACTGGAAGTTTAGTTTCAGAACTCACTGTGAGCTAATTAATTCTGCTGTCCAGTATTCTGTTTCATATTTCATTTTTCTAGATTTGCCATGTTGTAAAAACTATCTTCTTAAGTATTTTGTTAATCTTTAAAATAAATGTTTTTTTTTTTTAGAAAAAATAAATTTTAAGGCATAAATAAAAAATGGGGAGTTTCTTCACTGGATCCCTACACCAATGAAATCACAGATCTAAACAGCAACAGAGAGCCACCATTATAAGTTTTTCAAACCCCAAGTTTTCAGAATCCTGTTTTTCAGTTGCTTCCCAGTTGAATGTAAGCCCTGCCAGAGGGCAGAGACTATTTTTTTTGTGTCCCTATTATCTAGTACAGTACCAGCTACAGAGTAGGTGATTAATAAATGCTTTTTGATTGACCTGCCTCCTCCTTGTCAAATCCTGTTGATACCCTGTCATTTTAACTTCAGTAATTTCTAAACATGTTAAAATACAGGCCTTGCTATTTTCATTTTTCATCAGGGCAATTGAATGATCAATTGTCTATTCCTGAATATTTTTCTCTTTGAAGTACATTTAATAAAACTGTCTTTTCCTTACTCCTTTCTCCTTTTTGTAATCTTTCTTGAATAGACCAAAACCATTTCATTGTTGGCTCTGTAGGTGATATATAAGAGTAAAAAATACTTTCCACTTCACTGACTCTTATTTTTCCAAGTGTTCATATTTTTTATTTGACCCAATATCTGACCTGTTATCCCTTAATTGCATAGTCCTTTACTGACCTACATGATCTGTCTAGATTAAGTATGCTTTTTTTTGTTTGGCGCCTGCATCAAGCTACAACCATTATAAAAATAACCCATCTTTTTAAGACACCTGCTATTTTCTGTTAGCTTTTATAATATCATGCTTTATGTCTTATCGAGACTGTTGTGTGTTTTTTTTTTGTTTGTTTGTTTGTTTTTTAGGCAGTTGGGGTTAAGTGACTTGCCCAGGGTCACACGGCTAGTAAGTGTCAAGTGTTTGGTCTGAGGTTAGATTTGAACTCAGGCTCTCTTGACTTCAGGGCTGGTGCTCTATCCACTGCGCCACCTAGCTGCCCCCCAATGCTATTGTGTTTTACTGTATGTATTCAAACCATTTAGAACATACTTATTTTTTCTTTTGGGTTCTTGATTCAGTAAGAAGTACTAGGCTTCTTTTTAGTACTATATAAAAATTTAGATAAACTAAAGAAAATTGTCATTGATCCTTGATAGTTTGGGAGTATTGGGAAAGGGGATGAAGGATGGGGAGAGCCAACTTGCCCAAGGTCACTCAGCTAGAATATAAGATCTGATAATTGAACCCAGGCCTTGTGACTCCAAGGCCCTTTATATCTACTATGTCATGCTATCTGTATGAGAATTAAAATAGTCTTAAATACAGTTTGAATTTTTTCCAAGCAGTTCTTATTCTATTTTGAATTTAATTTCTCACTAATGATCAAGTGACATTAGAACTACAAGGAACCTTAGAAATCACCTGATCTAAACCTCTCATTTTTACAGACATGAAAATTTTGGGCACACAGATGTAAAGTGACTTGATACAGTTGATTAGTGGCAGAACCAAGCTTTTAAATCAGGTCTTCTGAGGCAGCTAGGTGGTGCACTGAATAGAGCACCAGCCCTGGAATCAAGAGAACCTGAGTTCGAATATGACCTCAGACACTCGACACTTACTAGCTGTGGGCAAGTCACTTAAACCCAATTGTCTTGTGGAAAAAGAAAAGAAATCAGGTCTTCTGAATCTTGTGCCAGTATCTATTCCATTGTACCATCTAATTCCTCTTCTGTCAAACTGTTTGAAATGTTTTTTAAAGTTAAATTTTGAAATTATTATTTTTATTATTTTATATATTTAAATAATCAGTTCTAAACAGACATTTACTTTTATAAATATTTTTCACATGAGTATAAGATCCTTGGAAGGAATTATCAAAGAAGTTAACTTCACTTTAAAAAATCATTGTGCTTTGGTTTGCATTGATACCATATCAGGAAACTTAACTTTAAATACCAGCCCATTCTGACAAGTCAGCAGTGAAACTACTTACCACAGAATGACCTGATTTTCTGACATCCAAAGCTAGTAGATTTACATGCAATCAAAAGGGAAAAGGACAGGAACTGGACCTGTCATTGGTATAGAGAACTCTCAGAATAAGGAACTTACCTCTCTCAGTGCAGGTTAACACTCTGTGCCCCTTCTAGTCTTTGAGCTGCATAGAGCACTGAAAGGTTGAGTAGCCTGCCCAGGGTCACCCAGTCAATGCGTGTTAAAAGGTGGATTTGAATTTGGTTTTTCTGGGCAGTAAGACCAGTGATCCATTATGCCATGCTATATAAGATACAGATAGATATAGAATCTTAGTCACTTTTATTTTGTATAGTCAGTGTTTTTGTTTTTAAGTATGCAAAAGTAGACACTTTCAAAAGATAATTTCTCATTTCTCTTGCTGTTGGCTATCCAAAACACGTTTAGCATCATGTAAAAATATTGTTGGTTATATCTGTTTTCTTAATAAAAGTAGTTATGGGCAAAGAAACAGTCATTTTGCATTATACATTTTCTTGATTCCTAAGCTTTGATTCTGAGGTGAGAAAAAAGGGCCAAAAACATTTTAAATGTATTCAGGAAAGTATTTCTCAATATTCATAATAACATGCTATATGAATAATGTTTTGGTTATTTTAAGTTTTCTTTTTAATCAAGTTTTATTTTATTATTCTCCTAGATTTTCAATATTGAAAATGATTTATGAAAAAAATAATTTATTGGAGGGAGAAATATCAATACATGTGTGCCTTAAATCTAATTCTCTTGACTCTGGATGATAATAAAGCCTATACTCAAGCAGTATAATTTTCACTTATGCGTAGTTTGCATGAAAGATTACTGAGAATGAGCAGTGATTTAACCAAGTTTAAATGAAAGCATGTACTCTGTAACCTCTAAGAAAAATAAATTTAATAGTTGAAGTTATAGCTTACCAACTAAAAGTCACCAGGAAGCAATCATGTGGATTATTTTAGAAGAGAAAATAATGCTTTGTTTGAGCTTGAGAAGTAGATGTGGAACAAACAAAAGAACAAATCGATTGTATTGACCTGCCTTCCTGTTTAGATTTGACCTGTAGAGTTAAAGAGCTAGGTTGTTTTTCACAACTAGTGAAATATAGATTAAGAAAGTTATCTAGATAATTGTGGAAAAAATCCATTTTGGTATGGGGTAATGTTTTTCACCATACATTGGCCAGTAGATATCTGGTAATATATAATTTGTCTTTTTCTTTTTTTTTAATTGACAAGAAGTTGGCAACTAAATAGGGAGGGTACTTTTTTATATGAAATACTTTAAAATCTAGACATTCTTTAAGGAAATAATAATTATTAAGTGATACATACTACGTTCTTAAAGAAAACTATTTTGTTCCATAAGGTTATTAATATTATTAACCCTAACATTTTGTAGATACTTCACTATTGAAATTTTTTGTGTAAAATATTTATACTCAGTCCAAAAAGAATATTTCTATCTGTAAATATAATTTGGAATAAGAACTCAGAATAAAGGGCTACCATATTGTACACTTCAAGAGTAAACTTTAAGCTTCCAATCTTCCTTGACAGATCACAGAGCTTCTTGATGTTTCAATGGAATTGGGGTGCTTTTTGGCTGGAGCATTGATTTCTTCTCAAGGACATATGGTTACTGAAGAAATTATGTCCTATGTTGAACCTATACGGGACTTTTTGGCCATCATTTTCTTTGCATCTATAGGTAACTTATATTGTCATCATAACAATCTAATTTAATTTATTAAGCAATATTTATTTTTCTGGCACTTATAATCTCTAATTTTTTGGACCCCAGTCCTTTACACCAAAAACCTGAATATAAATTGGAGGGTGAAAGGAGGGGTATCTCTCAAAAATTGAGTCTGGCTCAACACATGGAAACCCAGGAAATATCAGTATCAGACTTGTTTTGCTTTCCAAAAAGAAAGAATGCTCAGTTCTCCTACAAGCACTCAGACTAACAAGACATTTGAATATAGGAAAGATTTTTATTAAACCTAACAAAAAAGCAAAATAGAATCATCTGATACCCTCAATAGTCAAAGAAAACATTCTTGCCTTTTTGAAGAGCATAAGCATCCCTCTTCCTTCTTGTGACTCCCATCTTCCCACAGAATTTTACAGTCCACATGAACTCATGGTGGTAGTAGTAATAGGTCTAGTTTACTTCTCTGTACTAATTCTCTACTGTATGTATCTTTCTGACTAGCCCAAGTAAAATTTGAAGGTTTGTGGCTCAGTTGCAGGCTTACCCTTCGCTCATGCTTCCCTCTAGGGAGTATGGGGGTGCACAAACCTTTCTCTACGTCCTGAGTGTAGTTTGGTATGTCTGTCTCTGCATTCCTTTGGGAACAGATCCCTTCTTGCATATGTACCCTAGAAATTTCCTCTGCTGGATGAATCAGTAGAGAGGGTTACCTATGTCCCTTTTATATTCTCCTTCCAATTCAAAATTTGTAGACCCTCTAATTGTGGACATGGATGAGGTATCTTCCCCTAATCATAGTAGACTGTCCAACATACATGTCATACCTACATTCTCTAGATATATTTTATTTAAATTTCTGGTACACACACACACACACACACACATATATATACCTTTATTTTCTAAGAGCTAAAAGTCTTACAAGAATGGTATTTAATCAGGGAAACTTAGTTTTGGTTGCTGTATATCAAAAATGTCTCTTTGACACTTTTTCCATTCCATTTAAAACATTTTTTCTCCTAAGCTCCAGAAAAGTATAAATTAAGAAAAATTATGCTTGTCATTTGCTTGTAATCTCTTGATCTCAACATCAATAATAATAAGTAAATTATGAGCACCACATGATTACAAAGAACCCTAGTTTCTAGCAACTTTCTCCGGAGACAGATTATTATAGATGTGAGCTTGATAATCTTTAATAATGTGAAGCACTTAAAAGTAGTGCTTATATATTTTGTGGACACCTTTGTGTATCTAAATAAGGCTTTAACTACCTTTACCTACTTTTCAGGACTAATTTGATACCTAGTAGTGCAGACATTGCCTACTTTTGGGGGAGGGATGAGTGGTAAGGACTCAGTACGTTAACAATAAAAAAAACTTAATATTTGAGGGGAAGTTGTGGATCAAGTCTGAATTATAGTGTTGTAAATAAGAGGCTTTACCCTGTATGTTTTAAATGTTGACTTTTTTAAAGAGCTAGATATCCATCAATATTCTATATTTTGAAATGTATATATTTGAGTTTTTTATCTATGAATTGGGTTTTTTAATGTGAATTGCAATATGTTGCTCTTCAATAAAATAATAACAGTTTTACATGTTTTTGCTTGGGTTGTTTAGCTCTCATTATACAAAAAGTAGTTTGTGTTAATCATCTCTATTGGGTCAGTTGATAAATTTATCTGAAAATAGCCTATTAAGTCATTTTAGGGACTTCTCTGGGTTAATCTGCAAATGAAGTGAAATTATAAAGCTATCAGGCAAGTGGATGTTAATTAAATAGGAAAGTACCTTAATTTTCTTCATTAGATCCAAAAGCCAATGCTTTTGTTGGGCTAAATGATTCAATACCCTCTTAATGATTATTTCTTAATAAGTAAAGTTTCTTCTAGAACATTTTTGGTTTAAGGACAGAGAAAAAATGCTTAGCATGTAACCTCAAAAATAGAAGAAATGGCTAATTCAAATAAAACCTTTGGTTTTAATATTTTAAACACCTTGTCAGCGGGTAAAATATACGCTTGCTTTTTGTTATAATTAATTTCTAATAACTTTTAACTCCTTGGATTTTTTTTTTAAAGAAGAATGATTATTCACTTTTCCCAAAGCCTAAAAACTGCCTTTATATTCCTACACTATTAAGATACTTCCCTCTTTGTTAAAACCTTCTTTATCTGTAGAGCTTACTTTTAATTGTTATTTTTGTTGTTACCATTTTTTTCCCTTTCTCTTTTCCCGTGCTGGTAGGTATTTTCATTCTAACATAGGAATGGTGTGGGCATGAATTATTTAAGCATCTCAGTTCTTTTAGCCACTACTCTTGGCAACTATCAGTAATCTTTGAAATTGTTGCCTCTTTTTGTTAATTAAAAAATGATCAAACTAATCTGTGACAAAGCTAATTAGAATCTAGATCTCCTTCTAAAACTTTTCTCTTGTTTATTCATTTAAATATTGAATGCTTACTCCACTATATTTTGTACTGTGGAGAATGCAGAAAAAAATAAGATATGCTCCCTGTTCTAAGGAGCTTATATTGTAGTAGAGATACGGTTTAATGAAATCAAAGCTTTTTGGTGTCATATGTTTCTGAAAGAGAGATATGTAGAAGAAAATGCTTTGTAAATAATTGAAAAGATTTCCCCATCAACTTTCAAGTTTAGGGCTTATATGACATTAATTCCAACGAAAGACTAGCTAGTTTTTCCTACAAATCTTCCCTATTTCTGGTTCATCCAACCTCTACAACAGATCTTGTGTCCTTCCCCTTTTCTCTATTCACATGCCCTCCTTCTTAATTGAGCCCCTCTCACCTCTTACCAAGTCTGGTAGAGTAGCCCCCACTTGGTCTCCCTGCTGCCAAATTTTCCCCTCTCCCATACATCCTTCTGCATAGCTGATAGTCACCCACCTTCCTAAAAATTTTCCATAGCTCCACATCGCATCTGGGATGAAAATACCTATCAGTTCTCCGCAATCTGACTACTTCTTTAGTTCTAGAACACGGTACTTCTCTTCACATAGTCTTCTTCCTCCCAGTCAAACTGGGCTCCTGTCTGTTCCCCACATGGACGTTCCCTCTCCATTCACAAGTGCTTCCCGCATGTCTGAAATGGGTTTTTCCTTACTTCCACATGATAGGATGCTGAAGCACAGCTCAGTTTCACCTCCTACACAAGTGTTTTTCTGGTCTCTCCAGGCTGTTATTACGTAGTATATCTCTAGGAGAATGCAAGCTCCTTGAGGGCAAAAACTATTTGTTTCTGTGCTTGTATCCTAAGAATCTAGCGTATTGCCTTACACATAGCAAATACTTAATAAATATTTGTTGAATTGAAGAAAATTGACAGGAGAGGAGGTGCATTGAATTATAGGCAGCCCTGTGTCCCCATTCTAAGGAAAGCAGGAAGACGCGACTGATAAGGAAGAAGAGGAGCAAAGAATCAACTGGATGGGCGTAGAGGAGTGAGCACCTCGTAGCTCTCTCACCCAGTCAGCCAGCGTCAAGCTGCTGAATTTGTTTGTTTATGAAGGTGTCCTACTTAGAGAAGCCTCTATTGGCAGGGTAGCGCTGTATAAAACCGGGGCTGGGGGTGTGGAATTATGGTATTCTAGTTGTGTGTTGAAGGAGCTGTGCAAGGCAAATATTTTTCTTGCTCTTTCAGAATTTGTGTATAAATACTGAATACAGAAAGTATGTCAGTAGATACAGTATAATTTTCTCCATTAGGTTTTCATGAGGTATATGGCATAGTTCAGTGTTATAAAGTATTGATGGATAGTAGTATTGACTCTACATTGTATTTTTTTACATTTAAATTTCCTTGTGGATTATTATTTCTTTGCAGACAGACATTAATAAATATATCTTGATTACAAGAAACTAATGAAGGAGAATTAGAATAAGAGCTTGTTTCTCATGATTAGATCCAATTTTTTTTTCAGAAGATGAGGAAACACACTTTCCTTTTAAACAAAAAAAATTCTTTTTAGTTAGAATGGGGAATCACAGGGTATGGAACTGATAATCACATATTTAACGATTGCTTAGTCATTCAGGTAGGAGGTAATAGGAAGAAAATCCCCAAGCCCCCAATTTGTCTTATAGCAATTATTAGTTAAAAAAAGTTTGGGGTATTCTTTTAAGGATGGTGTAGATAAGTACAAATGTTTTAGTTGTTAAGAAGTTTAGAAGTAAAGCTCTTTTGCAGCCTATTCAGGTATATAAAGAATATAAGAAATTAATTTGTTCTTTCCTTTTTCTCACAGGTCTCCATGTTTTTCCCACTTTTGTAATATATGAACTCACCGTTTTGATGTTCCTTACCTTGTCAGTGGTAATAATGAAGGTATAATATTTGTTAGTAGCTTTATTTGTCATTTCTAGCAAAGTGGGTACTATGCTTTTATTTTGTTATAGAGCTCTGTCTTCTATAGTACTGAAATTACTTTCTGGTAATAGTAATCATTTACATTTACATGGTGCTTATAGTTTATCAATCACTTTCTTACAACACCTATGTGAGATGGTTGGAGCAAGTATCATTATCCCCATTTTACAGATGAAGAAAGACTTACAGAAGGGAAATGACATCTAGAAAGTACAGTAAATGAGATTCAAATCCAGGTGTTCTGGCTACATTGAGAAAAAGAAAAGCAAAGTAGAAATGGATCATTGTATCGTAGCCTTGTAGTTAATCCTAAATGTCACCTAATCTACCACTTTTACAGATGAGGAAACTGAAGTACGATGAGGTTAATTTTTCTTTTTGCTGAATTTGACATAGATAGTATAAAAGCCAAGATTCAAACTCAGGTTCTCTGATTCCAAATCTGGTTCTTGTTCCACTGTATCACATTGCCGTCCAATTAGTGGCAGAGCTGGGACTAGAATTCAAGTCTTTCTCTTGTGATTATTTGCATTTGGGATTATCTTCTGGCAACAATCCAGGTATCCAAAGTTGCTGACTAGCGTATTTAATTTACTGACTGTTTTGACATCTCAGTTCTTACATTCCATGTTCTTCATTTGTATGTAACCCATATATCAACAGAGAGGGCTTTGCCTCCCAGCCTCCAAGGGGGTCTGAGAAAGAGAGCTCTGTTTTGGTCTATTGTTTTATATTAGTCTGATATTCCCAGCATGGAAGTTGGGTTTATAGTAAGGTTAATCACAGGATCATAGATCTAGGACTGGAAAGGATCTCCCAAACCATCTGTCATAACCCCCTCACCTTTCAAATGAGGAAAATGAGGTTCAGGGAGATTACGTAATTTTCCCAAGTTCACAGTCTGAAGTAGTCAGTTTTAGAGATAGGATATGATGAACCCAGGTCCTTTGCGTTCAGAGCCATTGCTCTTTCCACAGGCCAGAGGTTGGGATGAAGAAAATAAACTGCACTCTAGTCCTTCGTATTAAAATGTTTATGTTGCCTTAAAAAGTGTAGGGGATAGTTGCCGTCACCAGCCAGTATTTGGGTGCCTTAGCTGTGTTTTGTCATAGAAGCTGGTTGTTGGTTAAAAAAAAAAAAAGCTATGATTAGCTCTGTTGGGCTAGTAATTGATATTATTTGGATTTGGATTATGCCATCATCAAAACCATATGCCATATTGGACTGGGTTTGGCATGGTTGAGGAGTGAGGCCCAGACAATAGGGCCTTCTTAGTGATGTCAGTCTGGACTAATATTTTTTTTAGACTTGATAATCCTATTAGCTGGATGGTTTTCAGGATTAAAAATTGTTCTGAAATAGTTTCATGATACATAATGTATGATAAAAAATTTTAGGATAAAAAGCTTAATTAGCATCAGTGGATGGGTAGTTGCCAGGTGGCTTAGCAACTCCCAATTTGTCTTTTTGTTCTTTCACAATTTCACTAATTCTTCATGCTTTTATTAATCATAATAATATTTATACTACTTTGAGAAAGTAAAGTGCATTCACATAAAATCTCAGTTTAATATATTGTTGGAACATATATATATCTCATTTGACTTTCTGTATTTTCTATGTGATTTCTATATATTAATTGAAAGTTTCTTGTTTGAGCTTTTCAAAAATAATAATAATATGAATGTTGCTCTCAAAGTTTGTTTTGGCAGTGCTTGTCTTATCCCTTATTCTGTCAAAGAGCAGTCAGTACATCAAATGGATTGTCTCAGCTGGGCTGGCACAAGTCAGTGAGTTTTCTTTTGTTCTGGGAAGTAGAGCACGAAGAGCAGGAATCATCTCGCGAGAGGTAAACTTTTATTAGCTCTTTTGTAACTCCTCACCCAGTTGACTAGTTCAGACTCCCCCATCATTGGCTGTATTAAAAATGCTTCATAACAAGTTTAATTGTTCTTAGGATAACACTAGGACATCATATTCTGACTTAAAATATAGAGAACCTGGAGATCAAAACTGTTTTTAATTGAAAAATCTTAATGTACAAGTGAAATCATAGATCCAGACACCCCTCTTCCAAAATAGATAGCCCTCTCACCCCACCCCAAACCATTCTGTAGTTCATCAGATACCAAGTCTTAGTTGTGCTGAATGACTCCTTCCTGGGTGAACATAAGCTCCTGGAGAGCAGAGATAGTCTTACTTTCATATTTGTATTCTCAGTGCTTAGTACATGATTAATAAATCCTTAGTGACTGAATGATTTGTTCAAGATTATAGTTATTATTAGAGTTAAGATTTTGGATTCACTGCTTCTGTGGTTAATGTGCTGTACTTTGTCATTTGGGTTATGTTGACTTTTTGTTATAGTTAGCAAGTGTTGTGTAAGATGTTATTTCCTTATATACAAAGTGAAGAGGTTAGACTAGGTGCATTCTAAAATTGCTTCCAGCTAAGAATCTTTTGTGGCACCAAAGCTTTCTTTCTGGCTAGTATAGAATTTCTGGAATTCAACTTACTAGTTAATCCTGCCTAGGTTGTCTTTATTTTCTGTTGATATGATAACTTAGTGACTCCCTATCTACTTGTAAATAAGATCATGGGCTTAGGTTTAGATGTAGAAGAGATTTTAAGGTCCTCTAGTCAGTCCCAACTTCTTCTTCTTGCTGATGAGGAAGCTTTGGGCCAAAGTGTTAAGTGACTTGCCTCAGATCACTCGGGTAGCATGACAAGATCTAGATTTGAACCCAGGTTCCCTGACTACTTACTAATATAGTATTATTTTGACTACACTTCACAATCTCTTGGTTTACTGGTTTTTAGTTTATTTCTGCTTACCTTTTAAAGTTGAGTCAACAGATTGTTCTTTTAAAGATTTTCTTCTAGTTCTCTAAATAATAGCAGTCCTGGGAAAGTTATTAAACTTCATCTCTTATGACTAGTTTGGAGATGAAATTCCTTTATGTGACTCTTTTGTTCACTATGAGATGTGAGTAGAGAACCCCCAGCCCACAGGGCAAATACCAAGTGATAATATGATTTAGGTTTTTATAGTGTAGAAAACAGCAGATTAAAAACCATAAGGCCTGTGTGTTCCCTACTTTCCAAAGTAGGTTAAGGCCTTCCTCCTTTTAAAATAATTTAGGAACACTGAGGCTTATGCATTTTCAGTAGATGAGAATTAAAACACTGCCGATGGTACTTATTATTCTTTTATCTAGATATTATAAAGTTTTTATGCTTTTAAAAAAATTCCCTTCTCTCCTCATTAAAAGAGCTATAGTTTTAATTGAATGTAGGATCTTTGCTTCTAAGAGCTTTGGTAAACGTCTGTTTTGCATTTTAGCTGCTATAGGCATATTAATTTGTATTTATTCTCTTGGTTGCCTGTTATATTTGCATGTAGCTAATGAGACCCTTTGTCTTTCTCTCTGCACCTTTGGTAAATGTCTTCCTAGAAGTCTCTCTATTATTGTAGACAGATATCTATGTTTCTGTCCTTTAGACTGCATTTTCTCTCCCTCCTATATTTTCTTTCTCCTACTATTCCAATTTATTCGATCTTTTCTTTCTTTCTTCCATAACTAACTATGATATAGAAGTGATGTAGTTTTGTTTTGTTAAATTTATTAAATAAAATTATGTATTCCCTGTTATTTAAAAAGTTAATTGGAAAATGCTCTTAAGGGTATTTCTCTAAATTTTATATTTTTCACATCAACTTTTTTTGTTTATTTAACCTTACTTTTTATTTTCTGAAGTGGCTCTTCAGAGAGAAAAGCTTCCCCATCCCTGCTATAAAAGTAAAATAATAAATTATTTAAGATTAAAATATTTAATATCAAATGAAAACCTGAATTGTACTGTTGGGTGAAATACCTTAATTATTATTCAAAGTTACTAGACAGATTGTCATTTTATTTATGAAAAACCTTTTAAACGTTAACAAAGGCAAAACTAATACTATTATTTGGAGAAAATTTTTCACTAATAAGCAAAAGTGAAAATCAGATGCATTTTAAACTTTTAAGTCACTACTGGGTTGGACAGTCATCTAAATATAAATTACTTTATTTGCTCATAAAAAGCCTCTGTTGTTGACTCTTTGGCATACTTTTAAATTGCATACCTGCTACAGAGGGCCAGGAAACTCTAAATCGTTATCATCAATGTTGAACACTTGTGCAAAATAGGCCTAGTGAATAAGCAGACTACAGTGAACAAGCTCTGCTTTGATATTTGTAAACTGAGAATATTCAGCTCCAGATTATACAGAAATGAATAGGAAAACTGTGCTGCTAAGGTTTCTAACACAGAAAGATCACTCGACCAATGACTTAGATTTAGATAGATGTATAAGCCAGTACACGAAGCCTGGGAAGGCAAGCACGTCATTCTGTGCCCTTAAGGAACTCACATTCTAATGAGAGGGACACATAAAAGGGACTTGGAAAGGAGGGGGAATGAAGACCACATCTACATGGTTTGGAAATGGTAGCTGGGAAGTGATGAGGAGGCCGTGCTTCTAGGCCCTCATCAGAGTCTGGGCTGGTTCTATGGATCCATGGTTCTGGTGAGGTGGGAGGGAATGAAGGTGATGGATTTGATTTCTCTCTCAACCATTTACTCATTTATGTTTTGTTTTGGGCAAATGATTTAGCCCCTCAGAGTATCAGCATCTTCTGTAAAATGGGAATTTTATAGAATCATAGTATCTTAAAGTTATAGCTTAGTAGTACAGTCCACTCATATACCAACAGGAAGCACTTCTGACAAAAAGAACTATGCCCCTCATCCTGTCCAGCCCATCCATACTTGAACAGGAATTTCTTAAAGTCATAATAATCGTTATAAAGCCTATATTTATATAGTCTTTTAAGTGTTGCCAACTATTTTCCTTCTGCTTACACTTTGGCTTCATGGGCCCAGAGAGGGAAAGTGGGTAGAAAGCCAGCTGAGGAGCCATGTCTGACTCCTCTTGGCGGGGACACCAGATGGAGCGTGACCCCTCCATGAGCGAGAAGGAAGGTGTGGCTGCCCCACACCGGGAGAGACCTTTTGCTCTGCCTGGTAGTACAGTCCTGTCACTACCCTCCTGTCTTCTGACCAAGTCTGAGGAGAGATGAACAAGTTCCATGAACAAGCTTTGAGAGGTTTAGGGAGTCACTCTGTAACAAGCCACCGGACAAACCTTGTTCCACATCAGCCTCGTCATACCCCCACAGCCTCTCCTCTCCAGGGAGGGGGAAACCACCTCCAGAAATGCATTCTACTTTTATATGCCTCTTTTTCTTAGGATATTTGCCCTTAGGTGCATTTTGGCTTAGTAAAAAGAACATTATTATACTTGGAGTAGGAGACCTAACTGTATGACCGTATTGAGTCCTTTAACCTCTCTGAGCATGTTTCCTCATCTGTAGAATGAGAGTTATAATAACCTGTAATACTCACCTCTTGGGAGCTGAAAGGTACCTCAGAAGTCCTTTGGTCCGGTCAGTCAGTCACCAAAGGTTTATGAAGCATGTTCCAGGTGCCGAGCACCATGCAAGGCCCTAGAAGTACAAGGACAAAGACTGAAACAGTCCACAAAGAGCTTACATTCTAATGGAAGAGATATTAAGTACCTCTATAAATACATACAACATAAATATAAAGTGAATAACACAAAGATATACATAGCAAGTGAGACTGAGAAAGGTTAAGTAGTAAACACAGGATCTGAACTCGGATCCTTTGTTTCTTACTCCATAACATTTGTGAAGTGCTATTCGTTATTTACATGACTGAAAATATGCGTCTCTTCCACTTTGGCCTTAGTTTTTCCCTCTTCTGCTGTACAAAACCACATCTGCCTGATAGCTCTTTTCAGGATCTTAGCTAAGAAAGCTGTTTGTAATGTATAAGATGGTATTATTCATTTTATTCATAATGATTAGCATTTTTTTTAGTGAGACAGTCGGGGTTAAGTGATTTGCCCAAGGTCACACGGTTAGTAATATCAAGTGTCGGAGGTCAAATTTGAACTCGGGTCCTCCTGACTCCAAGGCCGGAGCTCTATCCACTGCGCCACCTAGTTGCTCCAGTGATTAGCATTTTACAACTCCCTTCTAGACATTTACTCATTCCTCAGAGTAAAATTATTAAACTAACGTAAAATTGCCTAGCCTTTTGGTCCTTTTTGAATATTCTTACCTTTAGTTGAAATACATTGAGCCTGTGATTAGCTTTAGGTTTGAAAGAAATATATTAATAATAGCTCGCATTTATATAGCACTTAAGGTTTGCAGAGCACTTTACATAAGTTATCTTATTTGATTTTCCCAATAACCCAGCAAAGTAGGTGCTGTTTATTATTCCCTTGGATGAGAAAACTGAGGCAGACAGGTTAAATGATATGTCCAGAGGCACACAGTAAGTGACTGAGGCTGAATTTGAACTCAGGTTTTCTTAACTCCAAGCCTGGAGCTCTATCCACTGCTCCACTGAACAGTATTAAGGATGAAGTGAGAGTAGATTTTTGCTTCAACTCATTCCAGTTTGTGACTCAGGAATATTCAGTAAGAGGGGGTTAACTTGGCATAATGGATAGAACACTGGATTTGGGTTCAAATTCTGTCTCAGATACCTAACTGTACAACCTGGAAAGTCATTTACCTCTACTGGTCCTCACTTTTCTCACTTGTAAAATCAAGGGGTTGGACTTGATGACCTCCATGTTCCCCACTCCCAGCTCTAAATCTACAATCACTGGTAGAATTGCCATATTTTTATTCTTCCCAGCTCAGCCCATCAGTCTACTGTTGCACTTTGGTCATGCTCTTTTGGTAGCCCCTGAGCCCAGGAAAGCAGCCCCAAAGTTACGTAGTAGGAATGATCACTCCCAGGAAGCAGTGTTAGCACCTGGTTATATAAATTTGCTCCCTAAAAAGGTTATGTTCCTTCTGAAACATACAGTTAGCACATACCACTAACTCAAGATAAAATCAAAATAAATTGTCTCCTCGTACTTCAGTCATTGACCCTGAAGGATGCTCACTTCCTTGACTCAGGTTGTAAGCCATCCACACCATCTCATCCTGCATAGTTTTTGTCCATATTCTACCATAAATCTCTAAAAAATATACACTTATCATGTGCTAGAAGCCTCCTTCCCCTTGGTCTTCATATGGTTTGTGTGTATCCACCTATTATGATATCCCTTACAAGGGAATCCCTAATATAGGTTCAAGCTCAAGAAAATAAAAATACTTTTCCTTGAGCACCTGGTTCCAGATGTCAATCTTAAAGAGGTTCTTTAGTCCAAATTCTTACTTTACAGGGGAAGGAAAGGGAGGAGGTAAACTGAGGCCTATTTCTGCTCTCATCACAACATTCTACTACTTCTTCCAAGTAAAGATTTCCTCATTGTACTTCCCTATATATCCCCTATTTCTAAAGTATAGGTCACCAATAGAAACAAGCAGCAGCTTTATTTTATGCATCATCTGTTTGTTTTCTTTTTCCCATCGCCTTTTGGCCATGGAACTCATGACTTTGACTCTGTGAAGATTGTGTGGTTGTCTTTTTATATATAAAAGTTTATCTTTTTATCTTTTTATATTAATATAACTGAAATCTAACCTTTGAGAATGGAATTTCGTTTAAAGGAAGCTCCATCCTCAACCTCATCTAAGAGAACCAAGAAATACCAAAAGGACTACTTCATGAGGCATTTTGATTTTAAAAAGGAGACCCAGAGGAAGAAGTGTAGTGAGGTTCCAGTCTATTAAATTACTTATGTTATTTATTATATGAATACTATATACACTTTGTAATTGTTAAATTATAATTCCATCCTATTTTAGTCTAAGAATCTATTAACTTTGTGCTATGCTTTAATTTATTGTGTGAATCATAAAGAAGTAATGATTTTGCTTTTCTCGTTTTCAGGTCTACCTTCTTATATTGAGTGTAACTACTCTAAGTCTTTTGCTTGCCCCAGCATTATGGAAAGCTGCAATTATGAAATGTTTGCCAAGACCAGAAAGACGATTCAGTACCTGAAAACAAAAGTATTCATTTTAGAATAACACATTACTTTGCAAAAATAACAAACCCCAAATCTCTTTGCAGAAATTTGTGATGTACCTTCTTATGAGCCTTACAGATATTTTAAAGTAATACAGACTGTATTAAATTATTAGTGTTTTGATGTTCGCACAATTTACTAAATATGCTTTGTCATGTTTTAGAATTTGCCAAAATAACTCATTTAGATTCAATTATGCACAGTAGAATTGCTTTGAAAATGATGCATCATGCAAATTGCCTTGACCATTTTGCCTGGATGTGCCTTTTCCCCAAGTTTATTCCCATCTTGTCTTGTTAATTGATCTGTTTATTTACCTTTTTTGGTAGAAACAAAACTGAAAATATTTCTTATTTAATGGTGCCTGTGGTGCCCTGTTAAAATAACTAAATTTACCTGTGTAATTTCTGGATTTGTCATCTATAGGTCAAGTATTTATCATTAAAACAAGTGATGTGAATGTCTATTTCATACAGATTTTGGCAGCTTAATTTTGATGTTTAAAATGCTCAAAACTTGTGTTCTTAAATGAGGTGTTTATCTCATAGTGCCTATTTGCTTTTTATTATGCATCCTTTAAATACTCATTTTAATGTTACAGCTTTCTTTTAAAAAATGTGTTTGAGCTTTCATTTGTGTATTGACTACATTCTTCAGTAAAAGTGATCTTTGATCAGGGTACAGTATTCTTTAACATCTGGGTTTTTTTGAAATCTTGAATTACAAATTAAATTTTGATGCTGAACGAATCCCTACACATTCTTTTATTAATTTAAATAATTTGTTTACATATTCAATATTATTCCCTAAGAGCAAAAAAAATTGCTTTTAGAATGTTCAAGTTCTAGCTATAGTACAAGAAAAACTTGTTTATGTTCTATTTTAAGAAATCACGTGTAAGAAAATCTGAACCTACAAATTGACAAGCTAGGTGGTGATACTCTTTATTACGAGAAAATAATTTGCCTTACAAAATGTTTATTTTGTTTTTTTAATGGGAGCTGTCCTACTTACAAGCCATTAACAGCTTGGCAAAACTAATTGCAAATGAGAGTCTCAGTTGTACAGCAGAAAAAAATTATAAATTTCATTAGTAGCAAATGCCAATTCAAAATTAATCAGCAATAGAAATTAAAATATCTTGTGTAATTTGTCAGCAAGATAAATTAAATTTATAAGAATACAGGAATATATAATTGAGCTATGTGTATGTTTCAGAAAGTGCATCTACATTTGTTTACAATGAACTTGCCAGACATTCCAAATATTTATCCTATCGTTTGGTACCATTTTACCCCATTCGTGTTTCTAGTATATTAAAGCAAATGGGACTGATTTTACCTATAGGCAGTTATAAAGTTGTTATCTGGAAACCTGGCTACTGTCATGCCAGTTTGAAAAGAATACTTAAATGAGAAATTTTATAAAGAATGTCATGTTAACACACGTTTAAATACAATATATTAGTTACTTCCTGAAATTTTGTTATGCAAAAATACTTTAAAGGGAAGTTAAATGAATGAATGTGTAATATGAGTTATTGTGATATTTGGGAAACCTAAGATTTTAGCAGCCTTGCAAATAGCTGGAGCTAGCAGTAATTTATGGCTCACCAACTTTTTAATATAATACTTCTGATTACAACTCTACTTTATGCAATAGCTGCAGTTGTAAAAAAGTTGTAGACTTTTTTTTATTTTGGGTAACTAAAGTATTTTAAATGCATTGGGTACTCTTGCTCTTAAAAGGAATTGTATTTCTTTTGAAGAATTATTTTAAAGAGTGAATAGCTAGTTTCTCATGTTTTTTGTAAATCTAGATTTTTATATATTAAGTTTGCTTATAGTTGGCCACCTTTTTCTTCTCTTCCCAATAATAGTTTAACTTGCAAGTTTTTGCAAAAGTGACAAGATGGGTTTTTTTTTTTGAAGAACAAAGCTACAAAATGGGATTACAATATAGAAATATTGAAGTACTTTAATAATTTTACAGTGTTAATTTTGTACAAATTTGGATCTGCTTTCATGGCCTGTGAAAGCCATTTTAATAAAATGAAAATGTGACATAAGCATCTTTTTTTTTTCATTTCTTTGTGCTATTTTAGTGCTAATTTATTTAAAAGGCAAAGCTTTGCAGTGGTCTATTTATTCTAGAATGGGTATGCTAGTAGAATGTAGGTTTTGCTTAGACTGACAAATTTAGATGACTCCTTTTTAGACAGCAAAGAATTCAATTTTATTCATTAAAACAATTTATTAAAATTTTAGAGTCACTGTTATTTTGTTATTAAATATCTTTGTGCAGAAGGGTATATAGAAATATAAGTTCTTTTCATGTGTACTGTAGGATTTCTTGTTAAAGAAGTCTAAAATATAAATACTATCTGAGGCAACGGTTGTTTATATAATAAATTTGTTTTAAAAAATCTTGAAAATTTTTTTGTGTATTTAAAAACTTGTGGCTTTTGTTTGTATAGAATAATTCAATCATAATCTACCTCATTACTACAAAGGTTTAGATATATCTCTGGGGCAAATCTTCCTCCTCCTCTGCTCTAAAAAATCTTCACTACACACTTTTAAGAACCTGATGAAACTTACTATATGTGTGTGAATGTTAATAGTTTTGAGGAAACAAGATCTTGTACATGATTTTGGTCCTATTATTAATCACTTGCATAATTTATCAGGTGAAAATTGAGAATGGTATCTCTTTAGATCTTCTCACCTTAATCAGTCAATAAATATTTATTAAGTACCTACTACCTGCCAGGCACTAGGGATAAAAAAGAGAAAAAAGAAAGAAAGAAAGAGACAATCCCTACTCTCAAATATTGTAGTTCTTGGAGACTGTTATGATAGCCAAAATGGATAAAACAAGGTTATCTGTGCTAAGTATTAGTGTATTACATTTTTTTTTCAAACACGTGAACAGGAATCATCATTGTTAGTGCCATCATTTATATTTGGTGTATTTTGTTTTGTATGGTTGGAGCAGCATTTTGTTTCATGTAGGCTGAGTTGCTTTCCCTCTAAAGGGGTAAGGGGGCTCTTTTCATGCCTGGGGGTTTTGGAGTTGAACCAGTGGTGTGGCTTGCTGGCCTCACAGAGTGTGGAAAAGCTTGGTCTGTTGGAAGTTGGTCCTCATCAAGTTTGACATAATTCCCAGTAGTCTCAGAATCAACATAAAGCTCTGGATGTTGCCATTAATGTGACAGATGGGGAAGCAGAAGGGAGCTCCCATCCACTTCATCAGTGTATCCTTATCGATCCTTTTTATGGTTGAGTAAACCTCTCGTCAAATGTTTTATGACCCATAAGTGCCTGCTTGCATTCCTGTCCTAATTCTGAACCATTGAACTAGCCTGCCCTAAATTAGACTTGACTCAGAACAGTATCCTGCATGAGATAGTCATTATCACATGTTTTGAGGATCAGGGATCCTCAATAAGGATCAATATTATCCTGCCCAGAAATAGGCCGTGTGACTTCCTAGTTGTTTCCAAACTATGTTGCCCACACTCTGGCCTTCTTCCTCCTCCCATAAGAACTCAATTATAGGACCCTGGGCTGTATTAGGTGAGCTTTCACCTTACTTCCCAGCTATTTCCAAATGATCTGCATTCTTCCAGCACTTTTGCTTCCTCCCAGCAGAGCCCTGCCTAACCATTTCCAAACAAAACCACAGCACAGCATAACCTATCCCTTTCCCTTTGCTGCTCATTCCAACTCTTGTTGGAGTGTTGTCTTCACTTATTAAGGTGAATGTGTTGTCTTCTTTATTAAAAGTTTCTTTGGGGCAGCCTGTTTTGCTTCTTTGTTTTTCATTCATTTATGAAATGCAATGTATATATAATGTTCGTATGAGTCTTACATGCCCAAGGACTATTTGTAAATAGTCCTTGTTTAAACCAAACTGGGAATTGAATATAGAAGTGAGAATGTCTCATCATTGGGGCCAGCCATATTTAGTAGCTCAGTTTCCATGATCGATGAGAGATCAAGGAAGGGGTATAAAATGGGAGAAGTAGGTCTAGGCAATAGTGTGAAAACAACCTGGGTTTGCCAGCTTAATATGACTAAACTGTAGCATGGCAACCCAAAAGGTTAGAAAGATCTTGGCGGTAATACCCAGCATATTTGCAGAGATGACAAAAGACAGATGGCAAATATTTTAGGAGCTGTGGCAAGACCAGCACACTAATGCACTGTTATGAATTGGACCAGCTTCTGGAAAACAGTTTAGAATTACAGTTTTTAAAAAGTTACTTTGATCCGTAAATACCACTACCAGTTATATATACCCAAGGAGATAAAAAACAGAAGGAGAGGTATACAAAACTATATCCAGCACTTTTTGTAGTAGCCAGAACTGGAAGGAAAATGGGTATTAATTGATTGGGAGAAGTGTCAAGCAAACTGTGGTCCATGAATGTAACAAAATACTGTGCTGTAAGATAAATATGAAGAATTCAAAGAAACTTGGGAAGATTGGTATGAACTGATAAAGAGTGAAATAAGCCGAACCAAGTGAACAGTTTGCATAATGACCACAATAAGAGAGAAAACAATTTTAAAGCCTTGCATTTATTAAAAATATTAAGTTTATAAGTATAAAAATCCTTTTGAGTCTTTTTTCTTTTCAAGTCAATTAAGCATTTATTTAGAACCAATGTGCACCAGTTGTGCTAGGCACTAGACATACAGAGACAAAACCATAAGATAGAAGGCTAGATATTTTCTTCAATCCTTACAACCTCTCAAACCTCTCTAAAATAGGAATTCAATTCCAGAGACAAAGCAATTTCTCCTGCCTCCACAGACTAGAATAACAACCTAAAGTAAAAAGTTGTTGAAAAACAGCAAACTAATCCTTAACCCCTAATACACTCATTCTGTGCCCCCTCTGCTTCCACCCACAAAAGTCCCAGCAGCATGACTGCCGACCCATGGCAACAGAACTCATGTTACAGTTCAGACTGTAACATGAGTGTGGCAACACTGTGCTGCAACAGAGATCAACCAGAGAAAGGAGGAACAGAGAGAAAAGAGGACAGGATGTATGTGACTATGTAGCACTCCACTAAGCCTACAGGATAAAGCTCAGTATCCAGTTGATCAGTATTGTCTCTCTAGATGTCGCTTGGGGTATTATGTACGCTGGTGAGTTTTGAATTGCTTGGCATGAGAGAAGGCTGAGATCCTCTGAGTTCCAGCCCCTAGGGAAATTGTCGTCAAAGGGGAAGGAGTCAGAAAGTGAGCAATTGGGGGGGGGGATATAGAGGAAAAAAAGACTGGAATTACCAAAGATCTTGGAAGAAGGAAAATTAAAGACTGAATATAAGCAAATAAACTGACAGGGAGGATACTAATAGTAGGAGGGAAAATTACCTCCAGATCTGGTAAGAGTTCAGGCCATCTGTGAATAAATATAATACAAAGGAATATGAATCAACACCTGATGAGAGAGGATCCTATGGATTAAGAGATCATGAAACCTGCAGAAGGATGGTCCCAAATGATTTAAAACAGAGCTCTAAGAATTGTGAAAACAATTTATGGCCTGCCCAGCAGAAATAATTGACAAACTAGAGAAACTTGAATCTACAGTGACACATCTCACCAAAGAAACAAAATTGGGTAATTGATTGGGAATCCAAATATATGGAAGTGAAGGGCAATCTGGAAGAAGAGAAACAAAAAAACAATAACATGAAAAGAAAACAATCTCCAAACAAGTAAAAAAAATACACTGTATATAGAGAAAATTTAAGATTTACAGGGCTCCCATGACAAGGCATAAGAACACGACAACTCAAAAAACCTGAACCCCATAAAGCAATGAATAGTACAAAAAAAAATTGCCCATAATTTCTAAACATAGTGCCCTTTGAAAGAATTCACAAATCACCTGCAGGGTAAAAAAAAAACCCAAATTTTTGTTGCAAACTCCAAAACACATAGTTAAATTTATTAATGCCACTGATCATAAATTCCAAAAATGACCAGAAGAAAGACTTACCAATATAAAGGCAAAGACATTCAGATAAGAAGATACTCTGCACTCACCAGAAACTACAGGAAAGGATGGAGTAATATGTTCCAAAGAGCAAACTAACTGAAGATGAAGCCCAAGGTGACCTACCCTGTAAATCTGAACCTAACCGTAAGTGAAAAGAGATGGACGTCCAATTTTCTTTTTATAAAAAGAGATGTTGAAAACATTCCTAGAAAGGCAATAAATGAAATATTTCCTTCTAGCAAGGAAATTACATTCTAATATTAAATGTTTAGTCAATGCTCTTTTCTTTTGTTTACATCGTTGTCATTTCCCAATGACTAACCTCACCCAACAGAACCCTTCCTTGCAACAAAAAGTAGAGCAAAGCCAAATCAACACAATTGACTATGGCAAAAATACACACACATACTCACACACACAATGGTACACTTCATTCTGCACCTATAATCTACTACCTCTCTGCCAAAAGGTAGGACACATGCTTCACCATCAGACCTCTAAAGTCACAGTTAAATACTTCATTAATCTATGTTCTGAAGTCTTTAGGCAAAGCTTAGTCATTATAATTTGGTAAAATTTAATGTCAATTATTTTGTTCTATTTACATTATTTTCTTCATGTACATTTTCTTACATCACTTAGGTGGTGTGGACTGCTAGTCCTGGGGCAGGGAAGACCTGAGTTCATGTCCTGCCTCAGACATTTACTAGTTCTCTGACCTTGGGCAAGTCACATAACCTCTGTTTGCCTCAGTTTCCTCAGCTATAAAAATGGGGATAATAATTGCACTTAATATCCCAGTGTTATTGTGAAGATCAAATGAGAAAATATTTGCAAAATACTT